AAAATAAACAGTGATGAAAACATTGGTACTTTGAGCCAGATTGCGTGACTGGGACAGACAATCACCGTAACCTTATCCAGCACAGAATATCTAGGCCCATGGTGTAATTTGCAGCAATAATGTCAGTTGAACGATGTAAGATGCAAGCATGCGATGAGATTATCTCTACGTCCGAGAACATATCAAGACATTGGGGCCTCTGTTGCAAGTGATGCAATCGTGTACAGCCGTGCCACATGATAGATCAATTTGAGTTTATGGGAGCCTTAACGTGATGTGACAAGTGGGAGACGCTCAGACATTAATCATGGCTGTCATGCAGTTCGCGTCCTTGACCTCGCGAGCAATTGCGATTACTCAGAAAGTGAGGTGGTCGTGAAGTTTTGAGGCACAGATTGCAGGCAGCTTCATAGATAACCACGGGCTTTATTTAAGTTCTAGTCAGCCCACCATTTTATCGTTTCTCACGCCGCTTCCAATATTCCGCGTCAGGCTCATTCGGCCCGCACGATTGTACCACCGGTACCAACGCGTTGCTTGAGAGATAAGCGTCGAGTTTATCACGTGATTAACTTACAGGGATAACGGAGAGTGGCCTCCATTGCTGGAAACGCAGCCAGCTTTGCTAGAGGTTCTTGCGAACTTTAGTAAATCCGTCATGGCTGTCGGAGAGCATGGGTCTCGTCGATGCTGGGTTGGAGTTGCTTGTCATCTATTGGGATGACTTCTAAGCCAATCATAAAGATCTGCTTTAGAACGCACCTGTGGACAAAGTCACCTGCTTGAGAGACCTGTGCAGGTCTGCCAAAGGATACTACCTCGATGCGGAAGCGTGCCTGTATGACGCTAGGAGTCGGCTTTCATCAGGATTGTCAAAAGGTGCCGAATTGCTATCTCGCCTCATGCCGCGCTCAGGCCCTCGCCTTCCGAGCAGTAACACCCCGCACTTTTCCGGCCCTTGCAAGGATTGGCAATCGTTCCGCAATCTGTTTCAGGCGCTCATTTACCAAGATACCCGGCTTATTAACGTCCAGAAGCTCTACTACCTAAAAGCAAACTTGCAGGGAGAGGCAAAAGCAGTTCTGGACACCTTGCAGCTCGTTGGCTCCAATTATTTCACGGCCTGGAGCTTTCTTGTCTCATGATTCGAGCATCACCACCTACTCGTGCAGGATCACGTCATGGCACTCCAAACACTTAAGCCTCTGAGTAAGAAGGCAGTTGCTTGTCTGCAAGGCTTGCTTGATACCTTAGAAAAGTATCGTGATCACCTGCGAGCGCTCAATCACCCCGTAGAACATTGGGGTATGTAAAAAATCGCTTTTGCCTCGACCGCCATGGACCCCTTAACTTGAAGAGCCTAGGAAGACGAGCTCAAGAAGCTGGAGGCAGCAAGCTCGGTACAGGGGAAAGTGCCCGCTTTTGCCATCTTATCCAGCTTTCTGTGGAGGCGCGGCTGCTCACTGATATCAATGGAAGTACCATGCCCTTCCCAATCGACGAGTGATCATGTACGCTCGACTGGCAGTTGCCCTCTAGTGTCAATGCCACCCAGCCGCAACCACTAATCTTTTGCGATCCACACAATCAATGATGACTGCCCTGCATTCCACGCGCCACACTTTGTTGGACACTGCAGCCAATTCCTAGAACTAGATGCGTTTGGGCAAAGAGGTTTTGCCGCTCAGCACAAGCTGTGTTTTAACTGCCTGAAGCCGGGACACATGGCAACTGTCTGCCCTTCCCAGATAGTATGTCAACATTACAAGGCACGGCATCACAGCCTCATCCATAGTGACGGTCGTAAGCACAGGGTCCCGCCTAATCCAGCACCAGCTGAGGTGAAGCAGGCACTCTTCATCTCTGACTCCAAGAGCGGAATGAACATGGCAGCCGCCTTATCGTCATAACTAGCCGTCCTGCCCACGCTCAAGGTTCAGGTCAAGGGCACGTGAGGGTGGACAGTCACAGCAAGAGCACTAGTCGACGCTTGCTTGGAGATTTCAATCACGTCCACTACACAGGCTCAAAAGATTGGCGCCCACCTCAATCCAGCTGTCACGAGCATCTCCGGCGTCGAAGGCGCTGTTCTGCTGTGCTCCCCAACGATCTCAAACTTGCAGCTCCACACCCAGAACTCAACTTGGACGTTGCAGCTGAATGCGCACTGCGTGCCTCAACTGGGACTCCGTAACCCTTCTGGACCGTTACACCCATCCGATTTTCCAGACCTTTCGAACCCGACTTTCGGAGTACCAAGCGTTGTCAACATCCTACTTGGAGCCAACGTGTACCCCCATCTACTACTGCCAGGGCAGTTATTCCGTGAAAATCTCGCCAGACAGCTCACCGTTGCTGGCTCAATGCTCACCAGTCACGCACCAGGCCCAGTGATATCATCCTCGCCAATCGCTTGCATGATGACTTAGGACACCTTAGCTCTGCCTTGGCACCAGCAGCTAATCGCACTGATGCAACGGTTTTGGGATTCGGAGGACGTGCTACGAGTCATTTGTCGATCCCCCGACGACATGGAGTGTGAGGTCATCTTTTCTGATCATCATCGAGCGGCTGATTGGCACAATGTCGTCCCCCTCCTGTTTGAGCACAATGGAATTCAGCGACTAGGAGATAGCTTATCTGGTGCAAGAGCATCCCTTAGTTTGCTACAGCGCAGATTGTGGGATATTCTGGAGATGGCCATCGAATATGCACGCTTCATGGATAAGTATCTCAAGTGCAGGCACATGCAGTTAATGACCAACGCGAAGCTTTGTGGGTCAGCTGGTCCCATACACTGTATCCCACCCCATGGGATCTGGCAAGCTGACGACCAGGAAAAGAAACTGCGCGTCGTATTTAACGCATCATGATAAATATCCACTGGCTGTAGCCTCAACGATGTCCTGCACGCAGGTTTGACGATTCAGTCTCACTTGCTGACTGTTTTGCTCCGCTGGAGAAGGCATCAGATTGCCTTTTGAGCGGATATCCAAACGATGTTTCGGCAAATCTGGATCAACAATCGTGACGTGGACCTCCAGCGTATCTTGTGAAGCACTGATGACTTCAGTCCTCGGAAACACTACCAGTTGCTCACTGTAACTTACGGTGAAGCTATTGCTCCCTATCTCTCCCCCTACGGACGATTTTACAGCTTTCCGATGATAAAGGCCACGCTTGGCCCGAGGCCGTGCCTATCGTCAAACAAGATCGATACATCAATGACATTCTCTCTGGTGCTTACAACGTTGAGACGGCTCGAAATTGCCGCGATCAGCTGATCGATTTGTTGCAAGCTAGAGGCTTTCCTCTGAGGAAGCAGGTGGCCAATGATCCGAACCTGTTGTATGACCTCTCTCTGGAAGTGTGAGCTAGGACTCGATTGACGATCGCTTTCACCTTACACCACCGACCCTACAGCCACAGCCACGATGCTCACTGCTCCAGCATGACTCTTCGATCCCTGTAGATAAATTGTGCCCGTCGTTTGAACTACAATATTGATCACTCAGGATCTCTTGCGAGCGCGATTCAAAATGGTTGAGCCCGTGCCTGCAGCCATGGCTGAACGCTGGAGAGGATTCCTGGTTTAACTGTAGAATGTCTCCAATATTGCTATTCCTCGCTGGATTAGCTGCAGTTCCTCTACCAGCCTGCAACTCCACGCATTCGCAGACGCAAGCCGATGCGCGATGGCTTCTGTGGTGTACTTGCGCACTAAGGGACCATCTGGTGGTGTTTTTGTGCGTATTTTGATGTCCAAAATCAAGCTGAACTCCATCAAAAGCTTGCAGCCAGATGCCATCAGTCCCACACGCATGACGATCCCTAGATTGGAGCTACGAGGGGCACTGCTCGTGGTGAAGCTGCTACGCATAATCGCTGAGGAATACACTGTGAGTGTTGAGCACTGTCACACCTGGGTGACTTTAAGATCATGCTTCACTGGCTCCGATCGTCAGAGCCGACAAACAACTCGTTGATCGACAATTACGTGGCTCACACTCAGGAGCTTCTGCAATCCCACGTTTGGAGATAAGTTCTGACGTCCTCTAATCCAGTGGATGTGGCGTCCTGAAGCATGGATCTGTCCACGCTTTGACAAACGCATGCTTAGTGGGAAGGCTCCTCCTGGCTCGCGAACCCAAACTGCGCTGTTCAATGCACTGTGCCAAATGTGGTTGAGAATTTCTTATACCTTAGCTTTCTCTATCGCTTTCTCGCTTAATTACGTTGCTGGATCCAATATCAGCTGCCTAGGCTGCGTCGAGATTCTATCCCTCCGCCTTTCGCCCCTCTGACGATGATCGAGCTCCACGATGCCTATCTCGCCTGTGTCCGCCTTAGTCAGCGACGATTCTTCGCGCTGGAGCTTGCAAACCTAAAAAAGGATGGCCGTATCCCTCCGAAGAACCTGCTACTGCTGCCCTTAGACTTGATTCTCTCCAATGACATTCTTCGAGTTGGCGGTCGACTCCAACATTCTGCGCTTACTTTCGACGAGAAGCATCCTCCAATACTCGACAGTTGATTAAGCCTTACTAGGCTCATTATCCAATGGGCTCACTCTCGTTCTCTTCACGGAGAATTCAGAGTCATCACCTCCTGTGTGGCTCACAAGGCCTGGATTGTTGGTGGGCGGCGGCGAATGAAGAGCATTCTCTGGGGATACGTCGTGTGCGCATGACTGCAAGCACGGGCAGCCACTCGACACATGGCACCTTTACCAGCCGCCCTGCTCGCGCGTTCTCTCGCACTGAAGCAGACTACGCCAGCCCGCTTAATATTTTGTCCGCTAAGGGCCAAGGCATGCGCACAAGCAAGGGCTACGTTGCGATCTTCATCTGTATGACCACCAAGGCAGCGCACCTTGAGCTCATTGGCTATCTCTCCACCAAATCATTCGTCAGAGCACTCACCAAATTCTGCGCTAGACGTGATCGGCCCTCAGAGATCTGGAGTGATAAGGCTACTTGCTTCAGTGCCTCAGATCGTAAATGAGTGATGCTCTCCAGGATGCCGAAATAAGGTGGAAGCGTATCACTGGCTCACTTGCCAAACAAGGTGTCACGTGGCACTTCATTCCTTCTCTGGCACCCCACTTTAGCGGATTGTGGAAAGCTGGTGTCAAAGCTATGGAACTTGGACCGCGCCACCTTACCTACAAGGAGTTTTCCACCGTTTTGGCCAGCATTGAGGTGTTCTTCACTAGACACCCTTTTACTCCACCCACCAGAGGCTTAAATGGTCTGGATATCCTCACCCCTGGGCACTTGGTTGTCGGCAGCCCACTCAACTCTGTGCTTGAGATCAGTACCCTGCCCACGAAGCTTGATCACCTGAGTCACTGGAAGCTGGTCAGGAAAATTTGAGACCAGTCTTAGAGCCTCTGGAACCGTGAACAACGACTGAAAACGATGACTCCAAGTCGTAGTTTCAAGGTTGACGACATCGTCACCATGGTGGATGCCACGCTTCTCCAGTCCAACAGTGCCTGTCTGCTCAGTCGAATCATCTCAGTTTATACTAGACCCAATGGACTCATTTGCACCACCACTATCGGGACTATCCCCAAGAGGACCACCAAATCGTGCCTGCAAGAAGACCACCAAATTGGAGCTGCAGGTCACTTAACTTCCTTAAATGTCTGTATCGTCAGATCTGCTGAGTCGTATCTCCAACACAAAATAAAGAGTGATTAAAACTCCTAAAAAAACCGGACTCAATTATTCATTTGTACAATTCCTTACTTTTATCTGTTCTTATAATCGCATCAGTATTCTGGACTTTATTAATACAAAATAGTATATCACAATTTAACAGTGTCTTACATTCCGTTATTCAATTATCATTATATAAAGCTACCAGCCCAATGTCATACACAAATCATGACTATTTAAGGAATGCAACTGAATAAACCCAAACAAACAATTACTTTTCTTTCTTTACCATACTACACCTAAGAAGATTATCTAACTCAATACTGCCGCATTTACTAGAATCTGACCTCTATATGACTTGGGTCCGTCAGTTAAATAATTAAACAATTTGCCCAGAAATCAATTTAAAATTATTTGTTACATAATAATCGTTACTTAACAAACAAATTATTTTATTACAACATATAGTTAATAAAAATATTTTTTATAGAAATTATCCTTACTATAATTTATTTAATTTTACAAATTTTTTAATTTGAAGATTAACAATTTAAATTCATACGTTATTATAATTTATAACTTTCTTGATAGATTTTAAGTATTGATTTTTTTTTCTGCCACTTTGAATATTTTTCTTTTTTTTTGCAGCTTCTTATTTCAATATTTCCTCTTTCAATTTTATCCTCTCTTCAACTAGCTTCTTTTTTCTTGTACAATAATTTTTTATGACAACGATGAATGAGAATCCAAGGGACAACCTAGCCAATCACGATTCATTACCTGCATGGATTCTTCATTTTCTGTAAACGAAGACTAATAAGGAGAAAGGTGCTGAAAATAATTGACGAAAAAAATTGTAAATTATACCATTTTTTGCTGCCTATCTCGTAGCTTCAAATTTTTTTGAGCTGCAGTATCCGAAAAACTTGTATTTTCTGCTGCTGGAGTATCTTGAAAAGTTTGGTTTTCTAACGCCTGTGGCTCCTCAACTGCCAGCTTTAGTGATGGTACTTTCTGGGGTAGAGCATGATCTGATATGTCAGCCACAACATTAAAATCGTCAGCATGATCTGCTAGAGCTTATCGCAAAAGTTGTTCGTGATATCTCTGAATGTCAGAAGCTTTTGGTATTTTACTAATATTAACTGTTACGCGAGATATAGTTAAACAAAATTTCAAGAAGAAACATAGATTCAAAAAAGTCTTTTAGTATCAGTTCTGTGCTAAGGAAAGAAGTATACTTTGAAAATTTGGCATCGTTTCTGCGATTAGCAAAAAAAAAAGACTTTCCGCGCATGATTTCAGTTCTGAAAGTAAGAAAAACAAAAAAAGCTCTCAGCATCATTCCTGCACTGAGAGTAAAAAGAAGTCATCAAATTCATTTTTATGCAAAAAGTAAAAAAATTCAAGAGCCGTGACATAGATTAATATCTCAGAGTAAAATAAAATAATAAGTGTAAAAATTCTACATACGTTATTAATTTCGATGGCGATTTCTTATACGCACTTCAACCACTGCGTTTGAACTGACTTTCTCTTGTAGTCATCTATGCTTTAAATTAAATCACTTCTTAGATGCTTCGCTGACACAAAAGTTAAAAAGTAACTAGGTCGCTAAACAAAGATTAACTGACCTCATCAGCATTTCTTTGTTTTAAATTGTGGTATAAAAAATAAATAAATCTTTGTTATTGTTTTTTATCTAATGAAAAATTTTCTTTTTCAAAGTTCGGAAAATTAAAGAACCATGTGATACTGTAAATATAAATTGCTCTGTATAATCGTTTTTTAACACAACTATAATTTATATCTCTTACGTGGAGAAAATATTTAGTTAGACTAAGTCCCCCTCTTTACTCAGAAACAAGTTATATGATTACATTTTGCAAATTTTTACTGTCAGAGTGCATATGCGATTGAGTCTCATCTTGAAGACATATGATTGGAAAAATTTTCTACCTCTTTTAGAGTATCTCTTTTAAAGTAAATATAAAAGAGGCCTTGATTTTAAGAACTTAGTTTGAAAATCATCGCAACCATGTCCAGGACAAGACCTGTACCACACTTACATGACATGAACTTGTTAAAATTGAAAGAGATTGAAGACACTCACAGTCTTTTGTCATTGGAAATGGAAGAAGGATGAGAATAACAAGAAAAAAAGATAGTACATCTTACGGTTTGCTCTCTAAGGCTGGCTTCATCGCTACTATGTCTACTACTACCTCCAACAAAATAATTAATAGATAAGTTTGTACGAATGCTTGACAAAGTGCAACTTGTTATGGCTCTCAATGGAGTATGTCCAACAGAAGCTGAAGTTTGCCATAAAAAACAGTGGTATTTATTTCTTGCTGAGTACATACTTTTACTGAATATTCGTCCTCATATGCTAATTTTATAATGTTGTATACTTTTTTTCTCCGGGACCGTTCCGCCCCGTAGTTGGTGGAGTAAAATCATTAGTAGCAAAAGTAGTCAAAGTCAACGTCTATCCTTGCGTGGTAAAATTTTTCTATTTTTGTTTATTTTGTATTTTTTCCTTCTTAAATTATATTTTTTTTAAATTTTTTATTTTCAACAGACCTCGGAGCAGATGTTAAATGTCTGCTTCCAGGGCAGTTTTGCCCCTTTGTTGGTGAGGTGGATTCACAAGCATTAAAATTAGTCAAATTCGACTGCTATCCTTGTATTATTAAGCTCTTTATGTTCCTTCACATTTTATTTATTTTCTACTAAAAAGTATTAAAATTTTTTCTTGATTTCAACAGACCCCGAAGAAAATGTAGAATTTTTGCCACTTGGACCATTTTTTCCTACAGCTGCCATACTGGTGAAATATGCATTGTCAAGGTCTCCAATGTTTTCATGTATAGAAAAATTTAACTTGCAATAGCAGAATTGTGCACACCACTCGCAGAAGTATCTAAGTCATTTGAAGTTATTATCGTAAGAACATCATCATTGGCTGTAATACACTCCCCAACAGCAGATGTGTCTGAGTTAATAACAATCACTGATGTGATACAGGCACCACTACCAAAAGCACTCAACCATTGACTAAATACAGTGATAAAGTTATCACCTTTGCCTTTTTTGATGAATGTAGACTCCACCTCAAGTGATCTGTGAAGTAGCCAAATTTAAGTTGGGGCTTGCAAAAGTTTACTTCTGATCTTGCTATAATTTTGCATGGTGGTTGGCATGTAAGATCACATACAAATAAGCAATTAAGAAATGTTCATAACTACACACTTCGATTTGCAGCATTCCAATTGGTGGGATCGCTGTAAAATTAATCAGGTGTATACACAGCTAGCTTTTTTTGTCTTTTTACGTCGCTTAAGCTTATAATAAGTTTTTGTTAATGTAAACTTTATCTTATGATGTCTAGTGTCATTTCATCGCACTATGAATCTCGTTAACTATTATGGCCTTTTGAAACTTTATAAACATAACTGTGATGTAAAGAAAGAAAAGACATCTTTGTTTAATTATGTAGAGTTTGTGTTAAAACTAAAGCTTGTTTATAAAGATCAAAATATGCAATTTAAGTTTCCAAGGCACGCATGATAAAATCGTATTGTAATTTTTTCAGAAACCTTGTAAATTTCTTTGATTAAATAATGAAATCAAAAATGCAACATTTGACTTATTGTCTTACAATATAACTATTTGATATTAAGTAAAAATGTATCTTGATTTGAACAAAGAGAAAATACGTTAATAGACAATATGTACAATACAAATCGTGTAATATTTCTAACTTTTTAGGCATACGTCGACTTAGTAAAAGCACTGGGATGGAAAAGTTTCACAATTATTTATGAGAACAACGAGGGTTTAGTTCGCTTACAAGAACTATTAAAAGCTCATGGACCATCAGATTTTCCAATATCTATAAAACAGCTTGGTGAAGATTCTAAAAGTGGACATGGATACAGGTAAGTATATTGTTTCTCTAACAAGTGTAAGGATATCGACTTAGCTTTTCTGAATGATTGAAAAAAAAAACTCTTTATTAAATAAATATGTTTTGGCATTTATTAGCATGCCTAGCAGTCTTCTTTATAGCTTGATCAAAGTAAAAAAACTTTTTACTTCTATTGTTAAAAAAATCTTTTAAGCGATGTCTCTAGACTTTCTAGAAAATTGTTTGAATCATAAAAACTGTTGGTTATCTAATTTATTCACTGCAGCCTGGAACTTGATGGTCAAGAATTTGCAGTGTTACAGTTTACTTGAAATTATTATTTTTACACTGCATTAGAACATAGACAGACTGCGAACTACGAGAATGTAACGAATGTGATTACAAAAATTGTGAAAACTAATAATTAGCGCAGTGGAAGAAGTTACTTGGAGAGAAAACGAAAAAGTTCAACTTACTTAACTACCTCATGTTTTTAATTAATAAAGTTAGGAAAAGTGTCACGCAGATGTGCCCTACTCGACGATCCACGGCAAACTGACTTTCGGGCACCCCGTCGTTGCCTGAGTGAACCACTGCTTCATTTACATAGATTGGCAACAATGTCAAACTATAGTTATCTAGAGCAAAAAATACGTGGCAATGTCGAGCACTTAAATTCAAATAAAAAATAATGCCCTTACTTCCTCAATCCTAAACACAAACAATGAACTTTTTTATAAGATGGAAACTTTATGCTTAGATTGAGAATCCGTACAATTTCATTTTTTCATACATAAAT